CTCACCAAAATTATTCTGGCTAATGTCTAAAACAATTAGTTTTGTTAGATGAGACAAACTTTTACATGTCATTTCTAAGTCACTAAGTGAATTCTGACTTAAATTTAGAGTTTGCAGTGATGGCCAACCGCCCAGACAGGCCGAATGCTCTAAACTCTGGTCTCCAAGTAAATTTGCACTAAGGTCAAGGTACTCTAATGACACAAGATGTTGTGAAATTCTGCATGGTACCAGAAAGACCTTGGTGTCTTGAACTGTGACTCTGGTAAGAAGAGATAGTAAACCTTCCACAGTCTTAAGATCGGTGAATAAGTAAAATTCCTCTATAGATAACTTCTCTATTGTCAGAATTCTAAAGGTCTGTGATTGGTTTCCTTGAATTTGCATTTCCCATCGTCCAGTTCCCAAGAGTCTACAGTCTATCAGCTCCAACTCCACTAATTTTGGCATGTCTTCTAAAATGTTGACAATCTCAGGCACAGTAGCATCTGTTAATAAGGTCTGTTTAAGAGAAATCTTCTTTGCAAATGAAGAAGACATGATTCTCAATAGCTGCATTTCAGCAGAGATACTGAATGCTATTCTTCTCACTTCTAGCCAAGTGACAGCGTGCAGAAGGTCCCTAACAATTGCTGAGAATATATTAATGCTTCTTATGTTTACGATCATGTGATTTATCTTCTTAACTGACTTCAAACTTCCCTGCTCATACTGACTGAGATTGCTACCATCAATCCGCAGCTTGTTGAGGAACTCAATGCCCTCAAAGTTCCCTTGCCTTATCACAGAGAACTGCGGGTTGCCCAGGTGGAGAGAGCTCAGGTTCCTCAGGCTAGAAAAGGGAGAGCTTTCCCCCAGGTCTCTGTAAAAATTGCCTTGAAGATGGAGATGATCTAGAGAAACAAGGTGCACAAACCACACCGGGGACAAGTGAGCCAAGTGGTTATTTGACAAGTCCAAGAGCTCCAGTTTCACAAGGGACTGAAACGAGTCCTCATCTATAGAGCTGATTTCATTGGACTGCAGCTGCAGGATTCTCAAGTTCACAGCCTGCTGCAGGTCCTGGGATTGGATGTGCTTTATCCTGTTGTGGGCCAGGTCTAACACAGTGGTTCTGGCTGTGAGCCCTGGAGGAATGTTGTCCAAGCCCCTGGAAGAGCAGTTGCAAAGCTGAGTGGCATCACATGAAGGACACACCTGCTTCAACTCTTGCTGTTCAGAGAGGGTTGCAGCTAAGACCATGTAGATGGCCCACACTCCCCAAGTGTGTGTAGTCATTATTTTGCCTAAAGTATGAAATACAATCAGAGCAAATATTAGATGGATATTTAGTTTTGAAGAAGGCACATTTGGGGTATAAAATATAACCTTTTATTCTTCTGTCCTGTTGAAGGCACTGTAAATATATTTGGGTTTAACACTGTTCAGAGATGAAACAGATTAGTAAAAAAAAGGCATACTGTACACACATATTCCAAAATCAGTTGTTAGATGCTATGTACATTGAATTTGCTCTTTTTTTCCTCTGATTTTGGAATGAAGACTATTGAATCAAATAACACCTGCACAAGTTTTTCTGCAGATTCAGCTAAACATCTGCATAAGTATAACATTATTACTACTCATATCATCCTTCTGTTTAGTAAATAGTCCTCATACATTCCTCCTCAATCCCACCTCAGGTCTTTTTCTTCTGAATCTGTGAATATTACTTTGTGTATTCATTTTTTACTACACGGAGTCTCCTCTGTGTGTTTCAAATCGCAGTTACATCAAGAAGAGTCAGTATATTTCAGGAGATATTAACATTCGTATTTAATATTAATTTCAAGCCTATAATCTCAATTCTGACCATGGGGAGAAGAGGAATATGCATGTTTCAGTCCATTCCCCATTTTAGCTGCCTTTGGATGCTCTATGAATATACTAGGAGCAGGGAAACAAATATTTGCCTGGATGACTGTGTGGGTCATCTTTATCATGTTGCCATCAGCCCAATACTTGCTAATGAAACTTAAGCTGGTATAACTGACTATTGTTGCCTACTCACTCTTAGCTCTTCACTCTTACTGCCACATCCTTCTCCTGTGCCAGTGCCCTTTTCTGCTTTTGGTATCTGTGTCAGAGAGATCAGGCCAAGCCACAAGGGGCTTTTGGAGCCTCCTGCAGATCAGATTGGCTGTCTGGACTACTTAGCTTTCCCCAGTCTCACAGTCAGTTCCTGGTCTTCTGGACAGAAATTATTCAAGATAAACCACACAGATGTGGATCTCATGTCCCTTCTCTTTCCCCTCACAGTTGTGCCTTTTGTAATACTGATTTGGTGTGGCTTTCTTGTTTGAACTTTTGATTTTGTTTTGTTTTGTTTCGTTTTTTGTTACAGAGCTTGCTGCAATATCCAGCCCATCCTTACTACCAACAATATGATTTTAGTGCTTCTATCCCTCTGAGGAGTTGGAAAAACAACTTTTGAAACCCAAGAGAGCTCTTTTCCCTTTTAAACCCTTATTACATATTGAATTACAACCTTTTTTTGTTTGCTTGTTTATCCTTTCTTGACAAGGATCAAGGAGAATTTTTAAAGTACAACTTTCCTCAGTGTGTCACTAACTCCCCTACTCAGTAGGTATCTTACTGAGGGTGAAAAGAGTGAAGCAACCTCAACGGGACCTATGAAGGGGTTCTCAAAATAATTGTGGGCTCTGTATCAGTTTAATCAGGTTAGATTAGCTCATTGAGAACTACTTTCTCTCTCAGTCATCCCACTGAGACACTGTGCAGAAGATCTACTGTACTTTGAATTCATATTCTGATTTGTTTTACAATAGATGGCCCATGTATATGAGTTATACAGATAAGTCCTGCCCTTTCAGTTACAATATTTTTAGCCATAGCTGCTTAAGATTATTCAGAAGGGACAGAATTGACTGAGATGGTTTGGGCATATGGGGAGGGAGGAAAAGTTGGAGATAATTTTTAAAATCATTCTATCTCTTCCCACCTGGAGGACTAGGAACATTTTGACCTTTTGTGTTATTTTCCTTTTATCTCAGTCTCTCTCTGATGTAGAGCTTTGGATCTTGAAGGACACAGTCCTCTTTCCTGTCTTTAGATACCCACAGCTGAGCTGGTCATCCACTTTTTCCTCCAATGGAGTCAATGGAGACAAATAACATATTTTAGAAGCAATTCATATCATGCCTCTTGGAAACCCAGATTATGATGTGATGACTCCAGGAGAAATTGACTTAAAATTGAATACCACAGTTTAGATACCTAGATATTTGTCCATGTGAATCCCACACAAAGAATTGTGACTTGTAGTTACATTCATCTGCTATACAGTTGAGGCTCTTTTACAGGGCTTTTATGTTCTTACAAGTCTAGTTGGATAACACAGTGTTGTAGGCTATAGAAGCAAAGCCATGAGTAACATGAATTTCACTAGCAACTAATTTAAATGATATTTTTAAAGTTGCCATTAAAATGCAATTAAATGCTTACTCTGAGGAAAAGAAGCAACAAGGCAACCTGATCAGTCAAAAGGTATCTATAGATAGGTTATTTATAGATGGAAAATTTGCAACACAGAAGGGAGCTTGCCAGGTTCTGCACGGGAAATATCAGCCAAGCCTAGTGCTTCTCCACCTTACCAGCCTGAAACCATCCAGGGACTGCAAGACTGAGTTCCATTTGGTGGTTCAGGATGCTTTTCTTTATTGTCACTTCCATGATCATCTTTTCCAGTTGTTTGGCTCATCTGTAATCTGCAGACACTCAGGGAAATCCCTTTCCCATCCTCATTCATTCTCAGCCATTCTCTTCCCCTTCCCATTTCTGTCTAATGATTCTGCTTTAGACACTAACTTACAGGGCTGTTTCAGGCTTCTCCATACCCACTCAGACATACAGCCACAACATCATTTTCCCATCATGAAATCAGTTTTTCCTGTTGTGCTGGGAACTAAAAAGCCACATAGAAATTAAAATGCAGCTAAAAATCCAGAAACTTGCACAGATGCTCTTATACCACAAGGTTCTGTGATGAACTAGATATTCAAAATGTTTCTGGGTTATGGACATAGTTTCCAAGCCTTCAAACATGCTCAGGATTGTCTTCCCTGACCCAGACAAGTAGAAATATTTGAGGAAATATGTGCATATTCTTAAACAAAACCATGACTGACAACAGAATGACGTTCTGTAGATGCTAGCAAATGCTGAAGGTTAATGTAACTGCTAAAATAAAGCTTACCAATAGTATGCAAACTGATTCTAACTTGGGGAGCACTATCCAGCTAAATGTGGGCTGGTAAATTTGAGCAGTGCTGTGGGAGAGTTGCTGGTTGGTGAAAGGTTCAAACCCCAAGCAGATGGCAGAAAGCTGCTGCTCTCCACCTATTTGTGTGTGGGTGACATATATCCTAGTTATCCCTCACCAGCATTGCCCTAGTAGTATGCATATGCAAGCACACATCTGCAGACACACACGGGCATGCATCTTCTTGTTTCAGACACAGAGAATGTGCACCAGGTCAGGGTTAGGTGAGGAGGTAGCTGATGTCCTGAGGCCAATGCTTAATGAGCTCTTTCCTGGTTGAATTCTTGAAACCAATGCAGTCCGCCCTCGTGCCCTGCCTTCCCCGGGCAGCCAGCATCGACACACGAGTGGGACAACATACAAACAGGACAAAGTACATACAAGGCACCATCCCACAAGGAAACTGAGCAGGTTTCCTCTGACCCAATTTGTCTCTATTTCATTTGCTGCTTTACCCGAAGGACATTGTTCCCATCAGCATCTCCTGGTTCTCCTGGTGAGCCTTCCTTCGATACCTGCCTGCCATGCATCCTTGCCAGCTGTCCATGATTTCATTGCCTGCACCACTTCTGCTGGCAGCCAGAAATTCCTCCCCACCCCACACTCCTGGTCAGCATCCCTGAGCACCCTGAATCCTCCATGCAGAAGAGGAGGATTCGATGGCAGAGATGAGATAGCCTCTTCTCAGTGCTCTCTCCTTGCTCCTTGCTCTGGTGTTGCAGCTCCACTATCTTTCCCTGCATGTCCAGCCTTCATCTACATGAAAACTCACCTCTGTGCTGAAAAGATTCCCAGAGACGCCAGCTCTAGCTCTGGTGCCTGCATGCCAGTTAACCTATGCTGTGTTTCCACTCTCTCTTGCCGATCATTCTTTACCTAGCTTGCTCTCACACTGCTGTTTCCTTTCCACTTCACCTCTCAACCTTGACAATGTAAGCAGGGGAATTCCCACATAGGTGATCTGATTGGCATAAGAGCACTAACATCATCAGTCCTTTTAAATGTGCCAAGCCATAAAAGTCTGGGTCTATGGTAAGAGTGTACTGTATGAAAACTAAGGCTTTTACACCTCTCTTTGACCCTCTCTTTGTAATGACGAGCAAGATATACTTCCCTTCTCACATCTCAGCATGCAGTCTCCTAATCTGTTTTATCAATGCTCAGTGTTTGCTCTTAGATGATTCACTCATCCCCTAACTGGAGTTCAGACTTGGTTTACCCATGAGCTATTTTTTGCCAAGAGTGAACAGAAAAATCCCTTTGTAGCATACTTTGGACTAATCCTAGAGATAACATTGTAACCAGAAAGTAGAACTGAAAGTGGCGTTTGCAGGCTACACCCACAGACACTGTCATTTCATGTGTAGACACATATATACATACACACAGGAGTGTGAATATTTACACATGTGAAAGCACATAGACATCCATATGTACACAAACAGAGAAGGACTGGTGGGAAATACGGTGGTTGGAGGCTGTTTGGGGCACGGTGACCACGAAATTATAGTTTTCCATACTCAGGGATGCAAGAAGGGCCATCAGTAAAACTTCTACCCCGGACTTCCAAAGAGCAGACTTTGGCCTGCTCAAAAGTCTAGTTCAAAGTTTACCCTGGGAAACAGCCCTTGGAAACAAAGGGGTCCAGGAGGGATGGATATGCTTCAAGAAGGAACTCTTGAACACACAGGAGCAGACTGTCCCGGTGTGCTGCAAGGTGAGCAGGCAGGGAATGCGGCCGGCCTGGCTGAACAGGGAGACTTTGCAGGAAATTATGAAAAAAAGCCAGCCCTTTTCCAACTCTGGAAAAAAGGGCTGGCTAGTCAGGAAGTGTTTGGGAATATAGTTAGGTCATGTAGGGAGAAAATTAGAGACAAAGGCACAATTTTAATCAAATCTGGCCACTTCTGTCAGGGATAACAAAAAGTGTTTCTATAAATACATCAATAGCAAAAGC